GCTAGGTTGCTGTCTTTGCTAAGGCTTAGCAACTCACCAACGTTAGTGAGCAGCTGATTGCCCGATGCAATTTCCAGCACTACTAACAGCTGTTAGAGTGAATGCACCTGATTTTTATACTCATTCACGAAAGTGAATCAGTATATTGGTTTTGTGCAATGTCCGTCTTGCTGTCCGTCCGTCTGTCCGTCTGTCCGTCCGTCCGTCTGTCCGTCTGTCCGTCTGTCCGTCTGTCCGTATGAACGCAATCTATTTCGGCGCTATTGAAGCTAGAGACTTGAAATTTGGAACACATACTCCTGTATATCTCCGATTTATAAAGTGTTAAAATTTTCCCGATCCGCCCACTAGGGGCGTGGCAAATCGGAAAATGCATTTTCCGATATACCAGAAATCATGTTAGTTAAAGAGCTAGAAAGCTGAAATTTGGTATGTAGGTCCGCGTTGACCACCCTAGATCACGAGCTATGGCGGATATATCTACGCCTATTGGGGGCGTGGCAAATCGGATAAAACTGTATCTCCTAAAGTTGTAAACCTAGAATGCTGAAATTTTGCACGTCAGCTAATGGTATGACTCTATAAAGTCTAAAGATAAAATTATAAGTCTACGCCGATTGGGGGCGTGGAAAATCGGACCTGAAGATATAGTGATTTTTTAAATTCTCCTATATTTTGGACACTATTGATGGCAGAGACCTCAAATTTTGTATATATACTCGGACTGATCACCCAAGACCAAAAAGTTTTGTCGGATATATTTCCGCCCTCAGGGGGCGTGGCAAACCACAAAAGTTTATATCTCCTAAAGTATAATAGCTAGAAGCTTTAAATTTGGATAGTTGAGTTACTGGTAGCCTTCTCTATCGATTCCCCAAAAATAATTTTTACGCCTCTTTAGGGGCGTGGCATATCGAAAAATACCCTGTAATTTTCACATTTTTTGAGGTTAAGCATTCAAACTTTGCAGTTAGGGTACCGTTATCTCTTTCTAAAAACTGACCAAAAATGAGGTGTCTACGCCCAGTTGGGGCGTGGCAAATCGAAAAAACCTGTATATTCTACAGTATTAGAGCGAAACTTAGCTACTAAATTGTTGATGGGATGTGAATGAGTATTCCGCAGTCGGTAACGCCCGACTGCAACGTTCTTACTTGTTCTTATTGCGCAAGTGTGACGCCTAAAGTAACAAAATTTACGCGCCCACAAAAGACAAGGAAAGGAAAGAAGCCCTGACGCCAAAACACTGACGCTATCGCCCCCCCTCTCTTGCACCACCGAATTATACCGCTTGGGAATTCCACGAACCGCCGCGCAGTAAGTCTCTGGTAGTTTTTTGAGGTCGCTGGGTACGCCGCGCCCACAGCAAACACGTTGACTTCAGTTCTTTCCACTTTCACAGGGGAAAACACAGTTCAAGCTATTGTCTACGATGGACCACGATGACATCGACCGCACTCCGTGAAAACGCAACTCGAACCACGTGCGTGTGTGTGTGTGTGCGTGTGTGTGTCTTGTGTAAGCAGAAAGACGCGAAAAATGATTGAAACAGCTATTGCTCGAAGGGTTCAGGGAATTTCGTAGTCGGGAAGTCTCGACTACAGCTTTCTTACTTGTTTTTTTTTTTTTTTTAATTTTTATTCTCATTCTGTATGTTTTCATCATCATTCATTATAATAAAATACTTTTATATATCTATCTATACTAATATTGTATTATTGTATGACGTTCATCAAAGCCTAAATTATTTTAGTTAACATGACATTCTTTGACTTTTGGGCGGTACGAAGTTCGCCGGGTCACCTAGTTATATATATTTAGAGATTATGTACAGTCAGGCATACAAATAAAACAGCAAACAATATTTGCAAATAAACTAAAATTGTTGCTTGAAAAAATTTTATTTCTTTTAATCTACAAGGCAAAGTAATGTGAAGACCGCTTGCGTCAATAAATCATTAATCGTATAGCTCGCTCAATCGATTCTCGTCGAAAGAACGTCACACGAATAGCTGAACTCAATTCTCTTAAGAGAAAACAAGTAAGTAGACTCCAGTCGAGACTTCTCGACTAGGAGATACCCTCAAATCTCCAAGCTGATATTCTACTCATTCTGCACATCTTTTATGCACACATGCATAAACACGCATTCACACGCACGTAAATCACACGCTCTGCTGAATGCGCAGTATGCAGCGACTGCGCTTGGGCTGAGCTGCAGTGAGGGCAATATTATGATTATTGTAGTAGGACTATCTTTATGAAACTTTTAGAGCGTGATCATTTGCTGAACATGTGTGTAAATTTCAAATCACAAGTCTCTAGTACTGAAATACGTTTTTTTTTTACAAATTGGGGCGATGGAGGTGTGGTATATAAAATGTTGGTATATAAATCTGTGAATTAAAAAATTAATTTTTATTCATCAAATGTATATACACAGTGAATCTCAAGTCTCTAGGTGTAAAAGTGTTCAAATTACGCTGAAAAAATAGGGTCGACTTTACGGTTATTCTCGATAGAAAATATATCGAAAAACTAAGACAAATTTATACTGCGTATGGTATACACGAGTATGCATGTTCTCTAGCTCTTATATCTTCTGAGATCGGCTTGCTCATACGGACGGACGGACAGACGGACGGGGCTATATCGACTCAGCTCGTCACCCTGATCAAGAATATATATACTTTAAGGGGTCTGCCACGCCTCGTTCATACATTTCAACAAAACCATTTAACCCTGATTTGCCATTTTCAATGGGTGTTCATGCACATGCATGAACATAGAAATATGATAAAAATGGTAACATACCATCTACGCACTTTACAACTAGCATACATAAAATAGATAATATATGTGGCAAGTGTGAACTGTAAGACTAGAATAAATTTGACTCTGACCCTTAGCGACAGGAATATTTAAGAGACGAACGCTGAGCATTAGAACCTCAGCGATAGGATAAGTATAGCTAATAGACCCACGCGGAGCCTTACAAACTCAGCGATACGATAAGAATATGTAATAGACCAATGTTGAGCCTTACACACTCAGCAATAGACGTACTAGATTTAAGGGTTGAAATTATGCATGAGTCTGGATATATAAACCCAGGCTCAGAAAAATAAAGATCAATACGCAACTAATCACCATCATATTCAAGTGTATTCGTTCAATGGGTGTAAATATGTTTTATGAATTTTTTCCGCCCGTTTCATCCTGTTACATATATTTTTACAAAGTAATTTAATTGTAAAAACATGTTCTCTTCTTTTACTCTTATACTCATTCACGACAATGAAATTAGTACATTGGTTTTGTGCATTTACATCGTTACGTATGCCCGTTTGTCCGTATGAATTCAATCTTTGATTTTTCAACGAAAGATAAATCTGTTCCATTACCTATATTGCACATGTATTTAAAGATATTAAATATTTTGAACTTCACAAAAAATTTGGTGACTGTAATTGCCAAAAAAACAAGTAAGAAAGCTCTAGTCGAGACTATTCGACTACGAGATCCCCTGAACCCTTGGAGTAATAGCTATTTCAATAATTTTTCGCGTCTTTCAGCTTACACAAGAAACACGCACACACACACACACCCACGCACGCACGCACACACAGGCATACATACACACACATACATACACACATACACACACACACACATACACAAACAATTACATACATATACACACACAAGCATAAACACGCATGGGCGGCAGTGAGCGCTTACTATAAGAACTTAATTGCTTAATAACTTTTTTGTGGACGTACGATATTCATGAAACTTTTAGATTATGATTATGACATGGATATGCATGTAATTGCCAAAGCACAAGTCTCTAGTATTTGAAATACGCTTTTTACAAAAGTGAGGGTGAGGGGGTGAATTTAAGGGTGGGGGGTAAATTTTAACAAAAACCGAAATTGTATAAATTGCATATAGGCATACATTAAAAATTTGGAGACTCTAGCAATAAAGGTGTAGAAGATATAATTTTATAACTGGTTTTCGATAAGGTTTTTAATCGATAAAAAAAGATCGGGATGAGTTATCGATTTTTAATGATAAACTTGATATGCGCGCTGTAATTACGAACATTTTTAAAAAAATTTGAAGTCTCTAGCTCTTATATCTTCTGAAATCGACGCGTTCATACATACGGACAGACGGACAGACGGACGGACGGACGGACAGACGGACAGACAGACGGACAGGGCCAAATCAACTCAGCTCGTCGCCCTGATCAAGAATATATATACTTTGTGGGGTCTGCCACGCCTCCTTCTGCCTGTTACATACATTTCAACAAAACCATTATACCCTGATTTCCCATTGAAAATGGGTTCAGGGTATAAAAAACAATTGGGGGGCGCATTGACGGGGTGTGTAAATGGGGGGGGGCTAATCTGACGCGTTTTATTATAGCTCTAGTATTTGAAATACGCCTTTTACTAATTTAGAACGCAGATGGGAAAGTCACATGTGGTGGCTGATTAGGACTATAGCCCAATGTCTATAAAATAAACATGAACCAATACTTGAAATTTGGAGAGTTGTAGGAAATATGATTGTATAGCTAATTTTTTTTTCAATAAAATTTGTAATCGATAACAAAATAACGGGAATATTTATCAATTTTTATGAACAAACAAAAAATTTCAAGTTCCTACCACTCTTAACATATAAACGGACAGGCGGAAATGGTTAAAAAGACGGCGTTTGTCGGCATGATAAGGAATATATATACTTTATGGGGTCTGTCGCGTCTGCTTCTGACTGTTACATACGTTTAATTAAAACTTAATACCCCGATTTCACATTTTCAAGCGGTTCAGTTATACAAATGTGTATATTAGCGCCAAAGACCGATAATAGATTTTAAGATTTTAATTAAATTTGGAAAAATTTGGATTATAACCATCAAAGTTTCTACTGTTGTGTTCATAAATAATCAATTAAACTGCATCGACCATTATTCACTTACTTACCTTTTCTGCAAATCTGGCATACTTTCCTTCTTCAGATATGAAATCACTAGAACACCGTTTTAAATGTGCCATCAAGTATTTTCGAATAACTTTTGTAGATGGCAATATAACACTGCATGCAACAGACAATAAAGCCCAATTTCGCAGGTTTACCCTTGAGTTAGCATCAGGGTGATCCGTAGTTTGTTTAATAAGTTGAAGATAAAGTTCATTTAGGAGAGAATCCTTTCTCATGCATTTATCCATAATGGATTGTACTATACGTGTATGCTCATCCTCCGCTCGCTTTATTGTGTCGCCTGAAATAATATTAATATATTTGTGTCATGTCAATGAACTGATAAGAGAAATAAGTAAGAAAGCTCTAGTTGAGACTGCTCGACGACGAGATCCCCTGAACCATTCGAGCAATAGCTATTTCAATAATTTTTCGCGATACGAATGCTCTTGGTGCGGACGAGGTCTGGTGGAGGATGCCAACCACGTCTTATTCGATTGTGGACGCTTCCTAGAGGAGAGGCGTTGCCTGGAAGAAGAAGTGGGTCACTCCATTAGAGCGGACAACGTGGTATAAGCACCATCGTGGACACAATTATGATGGGGCTTCGAGAATCGAGCGGATACGAGCTGTCCCAGGCTAAGGGAGTGCAAAGTACTTGCGAAGCAATGCGTTACGGCCGTCCCGCAAGCATCGTACGCTACCCTTATCCACCTAAACGCTGTTAATAAATGAATAAAAAACAAGTAATAAAGCTCTAGTCAAGACTGCTCGACTACGAGATTCCCTGAGACCTTCGAGCATTTCAATCATTTTTTGCGTCAATCTGCTTACACACGCACACACACATACATACACATACACACACATATATACACGCACACAAGCACCCAAGCCTAAACACACATGGACTGCAGTGTGCGCTTACTATGAGAACTAATAACTTATAATAACTTTTCTTATGGATGTACTTTGTTCATGAAGCTTTCAGATTATTATTATAACATGGACATGCATGTTTTTGCCAAATCACAAGTCTATAGTATTTGAAATACGCTTTCCAAAAAAGGGGAGGGTGAGGGGGTTGATATAGGGGTGAGGGGTAAATTTCGACAAAAATCGAAATCATTATATTAAATACACATAGGTCTAAATTTAAAATTTGGAAGCTCTTGCTCTAAAGGGGTAGGAGATATAATTAAATAGCTAGTTTTCGATAAGGTTTTTAATCGATAATAAAGTATCGATATTTAGAGAAAAACTCTATATGCGCGTGATATACACAGATCTAGGAAAAAAAATTGAAGTCTCTAGCTCTTATATCTTCTGAGATCGACGCGTTCATACATACGGACGGACGGACGGACGGACAGGGCCAAATCGACTCAGTTCGTCCGCCTGATCAAGAATATATATACTTTGTGGGGTCTTCCACGCCTCCTTCTGCCTGTTACACACATTTCAACAAAACCATTATGCCCTGATTTCCCATTGAAAATGGGTTCAGGGTATAAAAAAGAAACACAAGTAAGAAAGCTCTAGTCGAGACTGCTCGACTACGAGATCTCCTGAACCCTTCGAGCAATAGGTATTTCAATCATTTTTCGCGTCTTTCTGCTTACACAAGACACACGCACACACACACACAAGCACACACGCACAAACACACACGGCAGTTCGAAATACGTTTTCGTGTGGGCGCACCGTACCCAGCGACTCTAGAAAAGAACAAAGACTTACTTCGCGGCGGTTTGCGGAGTACCCCGGTGCTAGAATCCAGTGGTACAAGAGAGGGGACAATAGCGTCACTGTTTTGGCATCAGGGCTTTTCTCTTTCCTTTTCTTTTTCAAGCGCGAAAATATTTGTCACTTTAGGCATCACACTTGCGCAATTTACAACAAGTAAGAAGGCTCCAGTCGAGACTGCTCGACTTGGAGATACCCTGAACCCTCCAAACTGATATTCTAATCATTCTGGACTTCTTTTATGCACACATACATACACATGCACGTATAAGCACGCGCTCTGCAAACTGCGCAGCTAGCAGCGGCTGCGCTTGGGCTGCACTGCAGTGTGGGCAATATTATGACAATTTATTTGTTGAATAATTTCTTTTGTAGACATACGATCCTAACTTTTGGAGCGTAATTATATGGTTAAAATGTGTGTACATTCCAAAGCACAAGTCTCTAGTACTTGAAATGCGTTTTTTACAAATTGGGGGCGAAGGGGGCGTGGTATCCAAAATCTGTAAATTACAAAATCTTTGTATCTATTAACTTTATATACAACGCAAATTTGAAGTCTCCAGGTCTAAAAGTGTTCAAATTAAGCTGAAAAAACAATGTCGATTTTTCGATTATGTTCGATAAAAGAGTTATCGGACAAGTTATCGAAAAAAAAATAAAGCAAACTTGTACTGCCTATGGTATACACGAGTATGCATGCCAAAATTCAGCTCTCTAGCTCTTATATCTTCTGAGATCCTTTTGCTCATACGGACGGACGGACAGGGCTATATCGACTCAGCTCGTCGTCCTGATCAAGAATATATATACTTTGTGGCGTCTGCGATGATTCCTTCTGCCTGTTACATACTTTTCACAAAACCATTATACCCTGATTTCCCATTTTCAATGGGTTCAGGGTATAAAAAGCAGGTGCATTCACGCTGTTAGTAGTGCTGCAAATTGCAGCGGACAATCAACTGCTCACTAACTTTGGTGAGTTGCTAAGTCTCAGCAAAGACAGCAACCTAGCTGCTGGTGTGAGGTAGCAGGTATTAAAAGCAGTGCATACTTTCGGGCTCTCGCTGTAGTTAAGTTGAGTTTAAGTTACTGCGGTCTATAAATTCAAATTATATTAGTAGCCATTGCCCACTACAGGCTTCACGTCGTTGTAGTCGGAGCAAAAAATGGATGCCAGGATGGAGGACGAGCTGCAAGCTTTCGCGCGTCGTTCTTCGTTGCAGCGATCACCGCAGCAACAACAGAGGGCGCTGCCGCAGCCGTCGACCTTTAATCAGTCCCCAGTGGCTGAGTGTCAGGCACCCAAGTCACTAAAAGAAGCGTTAGCCCAAATAGGAGTTACTCTAGAGGGTTTGACTGCCTTATTTGGGGGTCAGCGGCATATTAATGCCCTAATGAAAGAGGAGCTGGCTAGGTTGGTCAATCTCCATAAGACGGCCGAAAAGCTTTGCAACTGACCGGTTAAAAACTGCGAGCTACAGACCAAGAAAGTAGTTGAGACAGCGAGCGCTAGTGCGATCTCAGGTAGCGATACGCCCAAGCGGTCGTAGGAAGTTGCCACCGAGCAGAGAAAAACTCCCTCAAACAAGCCAAAGCCTAATAGAAGTGCAGCGAACCCAATAGAGCCAATGGCTCTACGGGCTGCAGCTGATAAATCAAACCAGGCAGGTCGACAGCGTCGACGCAGGACGGTCATAAAAGGACGCAAGCCTTTACAAAAACAACCCAGAAGTGATGCAATCGCGATCTCAGGCGTAGGTGGTTGCAGCTATTTGGACATGCTTCGCGTAGTCAAGAGCGACCGAAATCTAAAATATCTGAGCTGCGATGTTCAGGGCATTAGGAAGACAGATAAGGGGGACCTCTTGTTGCAATTGAGTATGAAGCCGGAGCATAGTGCTGAGACACTGCACGAAGCTGTAGGCAAGGCCTTGGGCGACCGAGCGGTAGTTAAAACACTCACCATATCGGCTCAGATTCAGATTCGTGACCGAGATGAGTTAGCTAGCAAGGAGAAGATCTTAGAGACAATCAGGGTTGAGTTGAAGGATAGCTCACTCCCCATTTAGGTTATCAAATCGCTTCGACCAGCCTTTGGTGGACAGCAAAGAGCTACGGTTGCTCTCCCAATTGGGAAATCAAACTCTGCTCGAGCTGCGACTGTGACCTAAAGGGCGCCTGTTTCAGGTGTGGTCACAGTGCAAAAGCATGCACCAAGCCACCTAAATGTAGCCTCTGCGTCCGGAAAGGTGAAAAGCAGACGGACCACTCAGCAGGCAGCTTTAAGTGCCCATCCTACCGTCAAGCAAGCAGTTCACGCGACAACAAGAGCCTACATATTGGTGGAATGCACAAATATGTGACATTCGACAATGCATTCAAGCGAGAAGAAGGGTCGCGGTAGGTGTACTTTTCTGGAAAAACAATTAGCTTACCAGGCCGCTAGAAGACAGTTGAAGAAGGTCATTAGGGCCAGCAAAACAGAATGTTTCTTAGAGTTGTGTGACTCAGCCGAATATGACCCCTGGGGCAGCGCATACAAGATAGTAGTTAAAAAACTATACGCAGGTAAACAGGTACAGCCTACGGATCGCTTGGAGCTTAAATCGACTTATACACGCGCTCATTTGCATGTGTGTACACATAAATGCGTACTCTAAGCATATTCTAAGAATCTCAGTCGCTGCTGCTTTTAGCTTTTTTAGCCTTTTTCCCATCAAATCTGGCTTTTTCCGAAGACCAATTGCGGGAAATATTTGGGAATGGCGGGAAGCGGGAATTCTGGCTTTTTTTATACCCTGAACCCATTTTCAATGGGAAATCAGGGTATAATGGTTTTGTTGAAATGTATGTAACAGGCAGAAGGAGGCGTGGCAGACTCCACAAAGTATATATATTCTTGATCAGGATGATGAGCTGAGTCGATATAGCCCTGTCCGTCTGTCTGTCTGTCCGTCTGTCCGTCTGTCCGTCCGTCCGTCTGTCCGTCTGTCCGTATGTTTGAACGCGTCGATTTCCGAAGATATAAGAGCTAGAGACTTCAAATTTTTTTTAAATGTCCGTAATTACAGCGCGGATATCGAGTTTATCATTAAAAATCGATAACTCATCCCGATCTTTTTTTGATCGATAAAAACCCTTCTCGAATACCATTTATAAAATTATATCTTCTACACCTTTATAGCTAGAGTCTCCAAATTTTAAATGTATGCTTATATGCAATTTATACAATTTCGGTTTCTGTTAAAATTTACCCCCCACCCCTATATTAACCCCCTCACCGTCACTATTGTAAAAAGCGTATTTCAAATACTAGAGCTTTGGAAATTACATGCATCTCCATGTTATAATTATAATCTTAAAGTTTCAAAAAGATCGTATGTCCACAAAAAAAGTTATTAAACAATTAAATTCTCATAGTAAGCTTGTTTATGCTTGTGTGTGTATGTGTATGGTTGTGTGTGCGTGTTTCTTGTGTAAGCTGAAAGACGCGAAAAATTATTGAAATAGCTATTACTCCAAGGGTTCAGGGGATCTCGTAGTCAAGCAGTC